TTAGTGTGATCTATATATATATACTCATACCCACCACCACCACACACACACACAGAAGAAATATATACATACATACATTCACCTCATAAATATTGCTTGAGCCAATATATGACGGCAAACCAGGCTACAAGTACAAACAGCATGGACAACTAGTGATTGGCCAGGTTGTAATATTCCCTGATTCTCCATCATAGCCTCTATCAGTGGTACAGTCGGCTACAACTTTTATTTGTCACCGCAAATGCCGATGGCTTCGCTTTTGACCTTATATGCTGATACGGATACACACACCGCTTTGCAGGTAAAAGCTAAGGTATATGCACAGCATTGGACATACATATACTATAAAGTAATGCCCACATATCACTCGACACACAAGTACATACTCTCTCTCGCGTGCTTTATCAGCTGCGCCAGTTGATTCTTTCTTACTCGCAGCTGCAAATATCGATGGCTTTGCTTTCGATGCTACACCGGAGGCTCCGTTGGCAGCTGCCAGAGATAACGTCACCTAAGAAATATATAGAATGGATAAATACTAGATACTCAAGAATTGGCGGTAAATCTAATAAGTAAACATATGGAATGGATAAATACTAGATGCTCAAGAATTGGCGATAAATGTAATAAGTAAACATATAGAACGGTTTAGATACCGAAGCATTGGCGGTGAACTTAATAAGTCAGACAATGAGGAATTGGCAGTCAACGTATTAACGTGAGCAAATAATCGCGTATGTGTATAAATACTACAGAAAACGTCACTTAAGGAACATACAAAATGATGTAGATACTATAAGAGCGAGAGGTGGGGGCAGAATAATAATAAAGGTACCTCATTGTACTCAAAAGTCCCACTGCAAACGAAATCCCACTTCAATCGAAATCTAGTAGCATAGACAATCCTGCACAATTATAAGCATCACAGGAGTGGCATACCATTGCATCCGCCCTCCAGAAATGCCTATTAAGAATGATTTACACAGGATACATACATATATATATATATATATATACACGCACACTCACACTCACACTTATATATATATATACATATATATATATATATAATAAAGACACACACATATATATACATATATACACACACGCACACTCCACACACATAT